TTATAGATAAACAGATAGTTGATCCCATGTTAGTTTTATTTTATGAGTTGGAGGTCATTTTGAACTAACTATGTACCATTTGTTGTCAATCTATCAGTCCAAATTCAATACTTTTCAAACTTTTAGGGTTTAATGAAGTATAATAGAAGAGGAACAATTAAACATACTGTAATAAAGGGCAGTACAGCGTAAGTTTGTTCAGATGAATGATCTTGATAAAGCCATTTTCCAAGTCAAGGATAGAATATTTAGTATGTTTCATCCAAATGTCATGAAATTTGGCATTAGGAAAGACAAATTCATAGTATGTGAATATACTTCAAAGACCAACGTCAAAGTCACATTGGTAAAATAAACAAATTTGATTACAACAATCAAAATATTCAGTTTACTTAGGAATGAGATCTCATGACAGATAGTCATATCATACATATGTGTAAATATGATTTACTCAGAATAATGATATTGCTATTTTGATGAATTAGACTCAGTGACCCAGTTTAAAGTTTGCATAACTGAAGTGAATAGATACTGGTCCATAGGGCTTCATATTGGTGTTACCAGAGATAATAACATAGAGAAATAGGCTGTACCGAAAGATTCTCAATGTTGGAATATATTTCAGTATGCTGAGCTCTGATATGAGTTCTAATTTAGCTGTATTGAAGTAATTATAATTGTGTTGTATTTTAGCTTACAGCATAGTTTACATTGTTATCATGGTGCTTACATATTATACCCTCTCTGTCATAATGAGTTTTATTAGCGGGACAATGCTTTGAATAGTTCCTACTCTTAATTACCATGAATGTGATCGTTAACTTGTGTTTTGAAATACAAAACAATATTCTCCATAGATTTGATATATTTCTGTTGACTGCATGGGATGTGTAATAATTATGTTAAGTGAATATGTGGGGTGTGGAGGTTACATCTGTCCTGTAACACCTGGTGATGAGACCTATAGCAACACACTTCCGATATAATGCTGGCACTCAGGTGCTCTTTTGGTGCCCAACATTATTTTTGGGCTGTATCTGCAGCAAGAATCTGGTATTTTAATAAGAAAGTATTGAATTTGTTGCAGCTTGGAATCTAATTACATAATAGGTAGTGAGTGAGTGAGTGAGTGCTTGTTCATGTTTGACAGTGTGTTTGGATCATCCCTTTTGGAGAACAGTACTGGTAAAACACATGTTAATTTAACTGAAAATCACCTGGTATGATGGTACCTTTAGGTACACAGTAAAATTTATTACAGCTTTTGTGGATCTTGAATGAAGACACTTAAATTGTCTCCTATATGGAAAAGTATTTGAGTTCTTCTGAATTGCTTTCTTAATTGGATTTTTTCCCCTTGAAACCAAATTAAAGTAGTCAACTTTGCAGTGTGCATGTACCAAAACTGACTACTACCTTGTAGGTCAGTGCTCATTGTTTCCACCTGCATTTTGTTGCTTTATATGATTTACAATTTACATGGATTAGAACTTAATTGAGTTTCCTATAATTTTTGTACCCACATAAAGTGAATGTTTGATTGAGGTGAGTTTAAATATTTGGTGTGAAGTCCGGCTGAGACCAACAAAATAAAAGACGCCTTTGAGTTATAAATATATGAGTTTGAAATAACAAGATTCACTGTATATATCTATCTGAAAGTTCCTACATATCTGTATATATCTACCAGTACCTGAGAGTTCCAACAAAAGGGCTTTCTACATCCACATTTTGGTTGTACATGAGGCATAGTAGTAATTTATATTCATTTCAGTAATTATTACCAAAACAGTACCTGCACCCATCTTTGTAGCCCAAAAACAAAAGATTAAAAACTCCCACCCTCCCTATAGTCCTATGTTTTATTCTTTTGTGATTATCTGCTACGTTTGGGCACCTGCTCCTTCACAGGGAGGTACTTTCCACTTTTATTTCAGTTTTTGGCTCTATGTTGGGGGTTCCCTGAACCTTTTCCTGCCTACCTAGAGCTGTCTCTAGGTTGTGCCATTCTGTCGTGGGCCGCCTGGCATCAAAGTCTCCACTATGTTAAGACAAATACGTATACTAAAGTTATGGTAGTTATCACTCAAATGAAATTGGAGTTTTTTTCACATAAAACCAATTTTCATGATCTGAACTTACCATAACTTTGTGGAGTCCCACCCTTTCCTCCTCTTTCCTTCTTTGCCAGGCTGCCATTTTTGACAACATAAAGGTATTTGAGGACAGGTGATCACTCTTTGTCTCAGTCATAACAGCTCATGGTACCATAGGGACAGCAAGAATTTTTATTCTTTTGGATACTGTATTTGCATATCGAAGGTATGGAAAATCGTGAAAATTGGTTTTACTTGAAAAAAAAATCAATTTGTACACATTATAACCATTCATAGAAGAAAGAATCTGTGATCAAATTGTTGTAATTGACTGTAGCTGTATTTAGTGACATTGTTTGTAAAGGCAACATTCAGAGACACCAGCATCAACTGTAGTGTCAGTTAAGACACCTGCTTGTAGTCAAATGGTAGCTGTGAATGGCCTGTTTCACCTCCATGCTGGTTAGTACTGCCTCAGACATGTAGCTTGTGATAGGTTCCCTTTCATGTCTGCACACATTAAATGCTTCACTTCACTAATAAATAAAGCATTCAGTACATTCTAGAATGATAGAATGGAGCTTCCTATTGTTAGATCACACAGCCATTATTGCCTGTCCTGACATCCCCACCTCATTGTCCATTTTCTAGTGGTCAATTGGACATGCATAACATTTCAGTCTCTTTCGGTCAGTGAGTGAGACCCGGAATCAAAGACACAATTGTCACTGGTCAGATAAGCCTCTGGTCAACAAGACTTTTCCTGTGGCTGGATAAATTAATTAATTGTTAGAAGGTCAAACCTAGTAACACTTTTTCCTGCATGAAAGGGAGGAGGTTTGGCATGCACACTAAGAGATTGAGATGTAAAGGCTAAGGAATAAATTGATTCATTTGAAGGTCAGATTGGTTGACCCTTTCCTTTATAAAGACCGAGGAGAATGGTGGTTAAGTTAGGCACAAAGAAGCATGACATGCTGATGAAATTATCAAGGTTATTGGAGATTGCTGTCATGTCTGTGGAGGAGAAATAGGGATTTCTTCCCATGGACTGATGGGATATATACTATAATTAACAACACTAAAAAAGAAATTAAAAGAAAATATATATATAAGAAAGTGATTTTAGGAAAGTACCTATTGTATATGATCTGTTTTTAAAGAAAACAAAATATCTACATGAAATATTTACCAGGTATTTAAATGTAAATAGCAACAGAGCCTAAGATTCAGGTTTCATCCAGACTACAGCCATTTCCTAAAACTTATTTGTATAGGTTTTTGGCAGCAGATAGAAGTGTTTGAAGGTTTAGTAAGTAAATTCAGACAAGGACAAGGAGGGCATATTAAGGCAACAGATTCACAGTTGAGTAGGAGGGCAGATTTTGTAAACTGATGAGAGGGCAAAGTTAGTAAAAAATTGAGTAGAAAGACATAATTTGTATACAGATGAGTAGGAGGGCAGATTTTGTAAACTGATGAGAGGGCAAAGTTAGTAAAAACTTTAGTAGAAAGACATAATTTGTATACAGATGAGTAGGAGAGAGATTTTGTAAATTGATGAGGGGGCAAAGTTTGTAAAAATTGGGTAGGAAGACATAATTTGTAGACAGATGAGTAGGTGGGTATAGTTTGTAGATGAGGATTGCAAAATTTGTAGACTGATATGGACAAAGTTTATAAAAGATGAGATAGGCAAAGTTTGTCAACAGATGAGTAGAAAAGCATATTTTGTAGACTGATAAGGAGGACAAAATTTGTAGACTGATACAGGAAAGTTTATAGATAAATTAGGTGGGCAAAGTTTGTAGACAGATCAGTTAAAAGGAGACCATAGTTTGCAGAATGACTGATAAGGAAGACAAAGATTGCACACAGATGAGTTGGCTTAGTTAATAGGCAAATGAGTAGGAGGGCATGAATCATAGACTGTTGTGATGAGGAGGGCAAAATTTGTAGACAAATGAATAGGATGGCAGAGGTTATAGACTGATAAGGAACGCATAGTTTACAAACTGATAAGGAGGGTAACATTTATGTACAGATGAGGAGGGCACAGTTTGTAAACTGATAAGGAGTGTAACATTTATGTACAGATGAGGAGGGCATAGTTTGTAAACTGATAAGGAGGGTAACGTTTATGTACAGATGAGGAGGGCATAGTTTATGTACTGATAAGAAAGACAAAGCTTGTAGAATGAGGGGACATAGGGTATAGTCTTATAATGAGGGCATAGTTTGTAGACAAAATAGAAGGTAGACTGATTACTTTGTGTTTGTAGACTGATAAAGAAACATGAGATGATGAAGTGGACAGATCATTATCTATTTGTCTTGAGTTTATGTAAAATCAGTTAAATTTATGTGAATTTAACATAATTTAGATGAAAGAGTGTGCTGTACTGAAGTGGGGACCTTATTAGATCTCACCATATGCAGAGTTGCTGCCCTTTAATTAAACAGAATTTGGAAACCAAAATAACATGTTGGAGTAACAGCAGACATTTTTTTATGTGAAATCATTTTAAATGAAGTTATTCAGATTCTGATTAAGCATTCCCTCATGCCTTTTGATGCTGTGGGAACAATGTATTTTTATAGGAGATTGCTTGAAAGGTAGGGGCACAAATCTTGATCTTCATCAATTTAGGGGGGATTTACCCTAATTCGAGGGTAATGGAGAACACTTTGATGTCACTTACAATTTCATCCTTTCAGGTGAGAAGTAACATGACTAAGTCAGGTTTACCTCTTTGTCTGACATGATAAGTTCATCTTTTCAACTCTTCTAAAATATAGATAGTCAAGATGACTGATTTTGTTTAATATATATCACAAATGAAACACAGGTATATATATCTCAATAGATCACAATTTTTCATCACTGTACATTTTTGTTTGTAGAGGGGTGTGGCAGAACTCCCGTGACCAAGCCCCAGGGAGAAGAAGACGTGACTGTTGTAACCCCGACAGAGGACACTGAGTTACATAGAGACAACTGTACAGACCAGGAAGTCAACACCCAAGGATGCCTACAAGGGGGAACCTGCTTCGCTGTTGTCATTGATTCTATAAGGGTACTAAATTGCCAGTAAGTTTACACAGCTAAACCAGTTTTTCTTGCATCACATACCTTATTTTCAATTTTGATATCAGAATAACGATGTATACATAGAGATTACCTTTTGTGAATGAAAATGCTATTTTCATTAATAGGGGTGGTAGTGAAAGTTAGTGTCTACTTTTTTCAATATGTATCTATATGTACTACAAATTCAGTATAGTCACTGAATTTTTTTCAATTTAGTTGGTATTTCACATTCATCCTCTATGTTCATATCTCTTTTTTTAAGATTTTACATATTTGCCAAATCAGATTAAGTTGGTGCTGAGTAATCTATTACATTGTCTAAAAGTGAGACTGAGAGAAAAAAAAAAGTGTGAAATTGGCTCACTGACTCTTCCACACGAGAGTGTATGTAAAGGGAGACAACCTCAAAGTAATCCAACATTAATGTTCTTTTGCTAAAGGTGTCCAGACAATTACATTGGGACAAGATGTGAACTATTTGATTTCCATCCTGATTCTCAAGGTAGGAATTAGATAGTTTAGTGATGCATAGAATTATTACTGTTTTGTTTTTTTTTCATTTCCCTCTCTCTTAATAGAATATTTTAAATAATTGTTGCAAAAACCTGTACCATTCTCTAATTCCTTCCATATTGAAAAATTATGAAATGTATTGAATTATGGTGCTTCTGATTTCTTTGGAACTTTTTTGGGTTTCCTCAGTTGCTGTTTCAGTATATGATAAAATGTAATTTTGTTTTTAGCTCTACTATACCTAAATTGTATCAGAGGATGCTAATACATGGCGTGTCTTTTGTTGAACCAAATAATGTATATTGTATATGTCACCAAATCTAAAACTGTATGTCACACACATTCCAAAACCACATGCATTACTTCTGTCCTCTACAATGTCTCCTAAATTGCCTTAAAATTTCGTTAGAATACTAGGTTTGAGTTATGCAGTAATTGTCAGTAATTGAACTCCTGTTGTATTTCAGGAGAGAATAAAGACAGAATAGCTACTGCTGGAGTAGCAGTCTTGACTGTGGCTGGAGTGCTGTTTGTCACAGTTCTCATCTTCATTGGAGTATGGAGGAAAAGGTAAAGTCCATATTTATAGCGTTAGACAATTATTGCCATTTAAAATACAATAACTTGTATATGACAAAGTGTGAAATAAAAAACACAGCTGTGAAGGAATTGTCTGTTGTTATTGTAACCATATACGCATCCTTGAACTGAGAAAGATCTGCAGATTTAAGTACCATTAACATAACAAATATTTCTTGTGATTTGCGTCAGCGAACATTTGAAGTAATGGGAACTCTAATCAATTCATTTTAACATAAACAGGTACCTGAGAAAGAAAAGGAGCGAAAATGAAAAAGACAAAGAAAAATTACAGGACCCACTGAAATCCAATGGATCTCCATCAGTAAGTATACCAGATTAGATATAAGGATTGTGTAGCATTACACTTCATAAAGAGAGTTCTATAAGATTCTGTTCTCAATTTCTGCAAAAAAAAGCAGATGTCATTTACCTGAAATAACCTTTATTAATTACCCTTAGAACTTTCCATATAGAAGTAAATTGACACTTTTAACTAAACAAGACAGGCACACATGTAAGGTAAGGTGTGCAACCATGACAACTAGGATATAACCATTAATGTATCCAAGGTAACTAGGATATGATGGCAGCACCATGAATTTAGTTATTAATGTCGTCATGACAACTAGAATATTACCGTGACAACCAGGTACCATACCACAACTAGCTAAGCAGCTATGTTCCATACTATCAGTATTTTCTCTAGGCACATGGAGAAGGTCGGCCATCAGCGCCTCATCATAGCCAATTGCAAGAGAATATTCCATTAACAACTATGGTGAATGAGAACTCCAGCTGACCAATCTGAAGGTTCTGAATGATTGTTCCTAAAATCTTGGTATATGCAGTTTGGTGTGGGAATATAGCATAGTAACTGATAGCTAAGCCTACCCTCTGACTAAACTAGTATCATTCTCTAACGCTCTATATTAGTCCAATATTATTCTCTAACTCGCTAGTTAGACCAGTATCATTCTTTAACTCGCTAACTAGACCAGCATCATTATCTAACCCTATGACTAGACCAGTATCATTATCTAACCCTATGACTAGACCAGCATCATTATCCTACCCTATGACTAGACCAGCATCATTATCCTACCCTATGACTAGACCAGCATCATTATCTAACCCTATGACTAGACCAGTATCATTATCCTACCCTATGACTAGACCAGCATCATTATCCTACCCTATGACTAGACCAGCATCATTATCCTACCCTATGACTAGACCAGCATCATTATCCTACCCTATGACTAGACCAGCATCATTATCTAACCCTATGACTAGACCAGCATCATTATCCTACCCTATGACTAGACCAGTATCATTATCCTACCCTATGACTAGACCAGCATCATTATCTAACCCTATGACTAGACCAGTATCATTATCTAACCCTATGACTAGACCAGCATCATTATCTAACCCTATGACTAGACCAGCATCATTATCCCCTATGACTAGACCAGCATCATTATCCTACCCTATGACTAGACCAGCATCATTATCTAACCCTATGACTAGACCAGCATCATTATCCTACCCTATGACTAGACCAGCATCATTATCCTACCCTATGACTAGTCCAGTATCATTATCTAACTCTATGGCTAGTCCAGTATCATTATCTAACTCTATGGCTAGTCCAGTATCATTATCTAACTCTATGGCTAGTCCAGTATCATTATCTAACCCTATGACTAGACCAGCATCATTATCTAACTCTATGGCTAGTCCAGTATCATTATCCTACCCTATGACTAGTCCAGTATCATTATCTAACTCTATGGCTAGTCCAGTATCATTATCTAACCCTATGACTAGTCCAGTATCATTATCTAACCCTATGACTAGACCAGCATCATTATCTAACTCTATGACTAGTCCAGTATCATTATCTAACTCTATGGCTAGTCCAGTATCATTATCTAACTCTATGGCTAGTCCAGTATCATTATCCTACCCTATGACTAGTCCAGTATCATTATCTAGCCCTATGACTAGTCCAGTATCATTACCTAACTCTATGGCTAGTCCAGTATCATTATCTAAATCTATGGCTAGTCCAGTATCATTATCTAACTCTATGACTAGACCAGCATCATTATCCTACCCTATGACTAGACCAGCATCATTATCCTACCCTATGACTAGTCCAGTATCATTATCTAACCCTATGGCTAGTCCAGTATCATTATCTAACCCTATGACTAGACCAGCATCATTATCCTACCCTATGACTACACCAGTATCATTATCTAACCCTATGGCTAGTCCAGTATCATTATCTAACCCTTTGGCTAGTCCAGTATCATTATCTAACCCTTTGGCTAGTCCAGTATCATTATCTAACACTATGGCTAGTCCAGTATCATTATCTAACCCTATGGCTAGTCCAGTATCATTATCTAGCCCTATGACTAGTCCAGTATCATTATCTAACACTATGGCTAGTCCAGTATCATTATCTAACCCTATGGCTACTCCAGTATCATTATCTAGCCCTATGACTAGTCCAGTATCATTAACCTTATGGCTAATCCAGTATCATCTGACACTATGGCTACATGTACAGTGCAACTTCCCCAAATACTGAACCGATTTTGTGTCTTAAATGTGAAATATACTGAAAATTACTTCTAAAAACAAGACCAAAGTTCCAGCCAGCAAACCATAAAATCAACACCTGTGGTGACAGTTGTAAGCTTTGCACCTCTGGTGCATACCTGTCACAAGTAGGCTTTGTACATAATACCTTTTATATTATGGGATTGTAATAATATATATATAGTTATCTGTAATGTTGTTTTGGAAAAAGGTAATAGCTTTTACTGATCAACAAAACCACCTACCTGGTACACACAATATATTGTGTGAAAACACTTTCAGTCAAGCTGACCATCCAACATGAGCTAGGTCTGGCTGTATGTAATGTGTTGGTTCTGAGATTGCTGGATAATGCACGTAGATTTGTTTTCAAGTAAAGTCACATATTGTAAACAAGTATCACATTTGTCACCTTCACTTACTATTTTTACTCTATATAATATTTTTCTGTATTCAGTTGGACATGTATAGAGTAAATGCTGAAAGCAAGCAGAATAGCTAATGAAATGTACAGAAACAGAATCGGTTCAGTCATATCTGAGTCAGACCAGTCAGTTTGGTTCAATTCTACAAACTGAACCTTCCCTAAACTGGCCAATTGTTTTATTCATGTCTCATGTATGATTGGTTTGCTACCACTGTATCATATGACAGCACTTGACTGCCAGTCACATAGTCTGGATCTAAACTTATCTGTAGTCACAGATCTAAACTTATCTGTAGTCACATATCTAAACTTATCTCTAGTCACAATGTCATCACCTCAACCATTATTGCTAGTCACATAGTCACAACATTTGGCTGCACAGTAATTCAATGTCTTTGAAAGAATTATTTATTTATCTCCTGTGTCAGGTTTTGATGAATCTGTTTGTAAACATAAGTTGTGATTAGGTTTTCTTTACCACTATTTTTAGCCCATAATCATCAGATGGTGGGCTCTTCAAATCGCCCGTGTTCGTGGTCCATCCCTATGTAAACAATTTTGTTATCACTATCTCTTGAGAAGTACTGGATAGATCTCTCTCAAATATGTATGTTCCTCTTGGTACCCAGTTGTGCCTGTTTGATTTTGGGACTGATCAGAAAAACATAACGGTGTATAGGCAGCCATCTTGGATTTTGCTAAGTAAAGTTTGTTATCAGTATTTCTTAAGAAGTACTTAAATGATCTCTCTTAAATTTCATATGTAGGTTCCCCCTTGTCCCTTGTTTTGCCCATTTAGAAAAACATAATAGCTGACAGGCATCCATCTTGGATTTTGACTTTAAAAGTTTGTTATCACTATTTCTTGAGAAGTACTGGATGGGTCTTTCTCAAATTTCATTTGTAGGTTCCTCTTGATTCCATGTTGTGCTCATTACATATTGAGACTGATCAGGAAAACAAAGTAACTTTCAGGCAGCCATCTTTGATTTGGCAATTAGAGATTATTATCACTATTTCTGCCAAGGAATGTTAAAATTTCTTATCATTAAGAGTAAAAACAAAAAAGAGAAGGGTAAAGAAGGCAAAAAATCCAACTTCCTAAGAACAAATTAAGATCAAACAATGATTGGTGCTAAGATCCCTCTCAGATCTCTTGTTGTGTTACAAAAGTGAAGGCAATATTTGTGATATTGGAGGAAGATGTGCAGTGATATGGCAATGAACTTTATAGTGTAATTTTTGTGAAATGTGTTGCGACGATGAGGTATTTATCTTTATCTTAATTTTTAATTCATTTTTGTCTCAGGAATCTGAGAGTTCATCATCATCTCCAAGGAAGAATGGTTCCCTCAACAACGAACAGCTTGAGCCATTCCAGGGCACAATAGGCAAGGTCAAGGGTGTACCAGTATAGGGCACAAGTCAAGGTCATTTTGGGACCTTGAACTCACCAAAAGTATCTAGGTTCATTACAAAGAGTGACCTGTGCTACTCTGGACATTACTGAACTAAACCAGACCGGCAGATGGGCCAGTTCTTTGACTAGTGATTAATCAAAAGTGTGCGAAGATCATTTGTAGATCTGGAATGATGGATAATTTGTTCTCAGTAATATATTCAACATCACCAGAAACTGTCAAACCAGGGAAAGAATGTTTGTGGTGCTAACATATCTTTTGGAACTCAATTGTCATATGTCAACTGATCCATGTGGATGTTAAATTACCTAATGACATAAAGAATGATATCACTAGTCGCAAGACCAGACCAAGCATTAGGCTCTCTTCTGTGGCAGCTTACGCAGAGGTCATGTGAAGGAATGACTTCATCCATTGCATGCTAAGTAAAGCTTACAGTCTATATCAGGAAGTTTTCACTGTTTTAAATCAAATTTTGGAATAAAAAATAAGAAAATAGTCTATTTAGTATGTACACACATATAGAATATATATCACCACTGTGAAGGTAAAATATCAGTTACTTGTGATACAAGTTGAAGCTTACATGTTAACTGGTTTTAGTTCTTCCCACATTGTGCTGTAAACCATTAGAACTATTTGGATCATTATCATCTAAGGTTGTGCTGTAAAAACATTAAAACTATTGGATCATTACCATATATGGTTGTAAGTTAGGATGTCGGTGTAAGATTCAGGTCACAACACTGTCTAGTCAGCTGTTCCTAGGTAAACCATGCAGATACAAGGACTGTATATAAAAATGTAAATCTTGTCTATTTCTGTTATTTTATTTGTTACCTGTGTAATAAATGGAATAAAGTAAGATTATTTAATTTGCATTCATTTACACTATAGAAATATTTGATGCTGTGATTCTCTATTTATGAAAACAGAAAAAAAATCTTCTGTTAAATCAATGTTTTTGTTCATTTCTTCTGCTTCTCAAAATACTGCATAATCATAGATCCTTTTATACGAAGTTATGACTATTATTAATTTAACTATTCAGAAACATTAGAACACTACCTGTATATATGATAATATACTTACTTTGAAGGGGAGGTAATCAATTAACTACATATGTATTGGTTACATATTTTAAGGGGAGATAACTCTAAAGTTTTGATCAGATGTATTGAAATCTTTTATGTAAGAAAAATCATTGGTGACATCATATATATTTCTGTGTTGATATGGGGGAAAACATGAAATGGACATTAATGAAATGAAACTAATGAAAAAAAAAAGCTTTACTTTATTAAAAATGCTTTATAACAACATTTTGCCTAGTGCTCTTTGTGAAATCCAGCTCATGCAGTTGCTTCTAAAAGACAATTAACAAACCAGTTGAAAAGACAATAATAAGCACATTTTATGAAGATGCAATCTTGATATAAGTCTCGATATACATACAGCATGCAATGTCATAAATGATAATACGTTGCTGTAGATTTGCTGTGTTCAGTGAACAAAATGAAGATGATATTGACTTCAAAGTTTTGAAATAGACAAAATTATTATTATACATTTCAGATCAAATTGAAATTTCTAACAAAGTCAAATTTAAATCTTTACATTTTGGTTTTGAATGATATAAAGGCTACAGTGAATTAAGCTGCAGTATTTAAGTGTGAAGATATTATTTAGTAGAGTGCCTGAATTATGGAGCGTATGTGTATCATTTAAGGCACAAATTGTATGTATAGTATTATGATGTAGATACTGTATATACTGTGGAATCCTTGTGTACATTGTATATATGTATATGAATTGAGTGTATGTTTTTTGGCAATCCATTTTGTGCTGAGAATAAGTTGTTATATGGGAGAAAGCCTAATATGGTTTTGTATGAAGCATGTATGTGTAATTGTAGTGTACTGTGCTATAGAGTATATGAATGTTTTATTTGAATGTATGTGTTCTTCTTCTACAATCTACAAGCAATGTGATATTCTTACAGTATCTCATCCTCTATATTTGTGCCATTTGTTTCTTACCAGTCAAACCTTTAAATGATATTTGTGTGTAGGTGATGTCATTTACTTTGTCTGTTATGAAGTAATTATCTTAATATTGTTTACTTTGTGTTTTATGAAGTAATAATCATTTGATACGGGAAAAAAATCTTAACAATTTAAAATGATACACATTTACTGGCTAATACAGCAAAGATGTGTTTATATCAGAAGCAATTTATTGTTTGTTAGAAATTTTTGCAGGCGATTTAATTCCACTTAATGTAGTCATTCAAAAGAGCTAAAAATTAACTACACAACAAACATATTACAGTGAATCAAAATCTTCAGTGTTAGATGACTGTTTACAGGGGAACCAGGTGATAAAATTCCCTGTAAAATGCAGGACAAATACAAAATATTAGCCCTGTGAGATGAATAGCTGTTAAGTGATAGATTGTGTTTAATCCTTGCCTAATATGTTCACACTACTGGCAGTGATAAAAGCCAGTCTGGTTGTCGTGCTTCACAAAGTGCACTAGGAGCATGTAAAATTATAAATACTAAGAATGTATTTAAAGTATAGCCTTAGGCCAGTGTGTTTTAAATGGCATTTAGTTATATCTTCATTGTGAGAATCTGCATTTATTTGTGATGGAGGATACTTGTCAACTGCTTAGTTCAATATCATGTACCAACAACACTTGTCTGTACAATGACAGAATTGGTACATTAAAGCAATTCTGTAGCAGAGTGACAAGTCAATATTTTAACATATTTGAATTTAATGGTACATTATTTTCAATATTTATGCTAAAACATCAGATTTGGAAATATAGAAAAATAAACCCAAAAATGAAGTCCAAAATTGGACCCAAAGTTAAATTTCACAAAAGATGAATTGATAAAAATGTTTACCACATTCACAAATTTTTCCGGATTTCTAACCAGAATTTTTGGGCAAAATGTTAAGTACATTGTATATCATATAATAACATATAAAGATTACTTTATCATCTACATATAGTTAAAAATGATCACAACATTGGCTTTATATTAACTGTGAATTAAAACACGATATTCTTTCGTTGAAACAAGACAAAATCTTGCATGCCCTTTTTCTTTTGCCAAACGATACCAGAAAATGAAATTAGTTATCAGAACAAAATGGAAACTTTATGAAGTTACAAACTAAAAATGCAAAGGACCATCACTGGTCAGTTACCGTTACCCTCTAACTTCACTAAATGTATTTCTGTTAAACTGTTATTGTATATGTAGTGTATGATTTGTGTTATCATTCCATGAACCTATTTATTTATGATGTGTATTCTCTGATTGTACATCATTTGTCTTTTATTGATTATATAACAACATAAGCCTACATGTCTTACACTTACAGATCTGTGTATAGTTCTATTTGTTTTATCCAGTGACTCCTAGTAGTACTGACAGTATAACAGGTCCTGTATCCAGTGACTCCTGGTAGTATTGACAGTATAACAGGTCCTGTATCCAGTGACTCCTGGTAGTATTGACAGTATAACAGGTCCTGTATCCAGTGACTCCTGGTAGTATTGACAGTATAACAGGTCCTGTATCCAGTGACTCCTGGCAGTATTGACAGTATAACAGGTCCTGTATCCAGCAATTCTTATTAATACTTGAAGTCACTTGATAAATCATATATCAACTAGTGTCTTAGAATACAAGTTTGTATTGGTTTAACGTGTCAGTAGACATCAGAAGATAAAAGCTGAGAGGTTTCCATCTACTAAGCTGAATTAAAACTGTATTTTAGGAAAATGAGAGAGAATCATCCTTGTACACCGAAATATTTATCAATAAACAGTATGTTTTGTTAACATGTGTCTTTGTTTCTCCTTGAAAAAAATGAGAGAGAGAAAATAAATTCTCATATAATTAAACTTCTTTCTGAATGAATTTTATTGATGGTAGTATTCTGGCTAATGATATATATCTGACTGTTTTCCAGAAGTTGATGTAGATAGGATTAATTGGTAAATATTTCTATAGTGTAACATTAATTGATACAACTTCGGTATTAACCATTCCTTGTGGCTTTGTTCTGTTATTCATTTTTTAAACTTGAGTCAGGGACAAGTAGATTAAATAGACTGAATTTCATTACTCTAAATGTTGATAGTTCTTGACATTACATTAAAAATAACTCTTTCCTAAATTATGAGGACATTTTTGGAGGATGGTATTTACGTCAAGAGTGTTGTTGTCCATCTGTCACTCTCTACATTCTGTTACTTACAATTTCTTGTTATCACTGTTTCACTGAAGGTACTGTTTGGATGTTTGCCATTTAGGAATATGCTCCATCTGTTTATCAACAACTGCTGAAGGTTATTTCTTAGAACTTAAGGGACATATCAGTGATTGTCCTTCACATAGTGCAAATCACTTATAAACTTCATTTATCTTACAAAAATTGCGAAACAAGCTTATATTAATCATTCTTGTTTACCTGAATGGAAGCACATGAGGGGTCTTACAATGGGAAGAAAGGGAATATCTAAGAAAAACCCACCTGATTGGGAAGGCGATTCCCTATGTTTCCACATCCGCTTCGGGAATCGAACCCCAGAGAGCTAGGTGAAAGGTGTCTTACAACAAATTACTTATTTTGGCATGGCTACCGCAGCAGCCACCTTTGGGCATTTTGTCTTAAGAAGAGATATCATGAAGTTTGTGATCACTATGTTTCGAAAAAAAACTGAATATAAACATATATGAATACATGATAATAAGGTAGTATTAATGTTAGTCACCTGGCCCCACTTGTATAAAACATCTCAACTTGAGATTTCCTCAAGTCGAGATTTTCCTCTGCTGATATCTCCTCAAAAACGGCTTGTATAAAATTTTCTCAAGGAACAGGAGGAAGTCATCGGCTAGGATGTCCTGAAATTCCTTGAGGAATTTTCATACAAGATATTTTCAAGGAGATATTAGTTGAGGAAAATCTGGGCTTGAGGAAATCTAAAATTGAGATATTTTATACAAGTGGGGCCTGGTAAACACATCCACACACTGTTTGTAAGGAATCCTATATCACATTGCTGTTATAAATATTATCCCAGACATACCGAAATCTACAAATGTTGGAGCTTGGTAATTAAGTCTATTTCCTTTGAAGGACAGAAGACAAGCTCATTGTGACATAAGTGAGTGAATTTATTTCTAATAGAAATATAACAAAAAATAATGTAGATGATCTAATATCTGCACTTGTTGTATCACAAACTGAGATCTACATTGTATATCTAGGTCTGTAGTTGCATCAATCATTGCACTTTGAGAAGAAACAATATTTATTTCAAGTGATTTAAAAATAATCATTAGATAATTAAATTCAAATTACACTTATCAATTGTAATTGACTTGATGGCATCTCTCAATGATACCAGTGTTGAAACTTCTGAATGCCTGTTAACTGTATTTAAATGTGAAAGTAGATTGATGTCTTTGATGTGCTTTCCTTCTAAATAATGATACAGTGTTACAGGTGTGATGCCAAACAGGAAAGTTTTATTTTGTACTTCTGGCTGCAGAAATTCATATTCTGTACAGTATTATGTTTACTTTCACAGAGTTATAATTTCACTTTTCAGGGGAAAAAATCTGGAAAAGCTTGAGAAGGTATTACCAGTACAATATGTATATATAGGTACTGTTACTTTTACTTGACATAAAAGTATACTAGATGTGGCATTTTAATATTATAAAAAAAAAATTGTATTTCAGCTGTTGACAAAACCATCCTTGATGCTATTTCCACTGAGCTGATTTAGTAAAAAAAACTGTAAAAATAGATAAAGCAATGATCAGTTCTATAACATGTGAATTAAGTCAATACATGATTTATTAACCCTCGCAGGTCAGTGATTTAACCTACAAATGTATTTAAATGTCCAATTTCCACGAGCTAGGTTTGCAAAAAATCAACAAGTTATGATCACGTAATAATAAACTAGTTATTATAATAACAATATCAGTAATAAATGATAGCATAGACATAGGAAATACTACAGTAAATCCTACAAGGGAGACAACTCAGGTGCAGTGACCTGTGCATACTGTAAAAACAAATTACAGACTTAATTTTTTCAGTGTTACTTTTAATAACAGAACAAGACCTGGCCATCACAGGTCCATCTCATACCTCTCCCTTTATGCAATACAACCAGGTTTCAGTGAGTCTCACTCTCTACTATAATAATTCAGTTTTTAGTGTTTTACAGAAATAAGTATAGGATTTCTAAAAGCATTTGAGATTCTGTATCATTCTTGACATATATTTATACATATTTTTTATTTGACACTGATGTAAATTTAATGGATTCCTGACATTACTATGATCTTTGTATTGTGGCACATCATATGAACACATAGTAATGTCATGCTGATGTTCTGTAAAACAAATGTTAAGACTGTTACTACAGAACAATTTTGTATTATATTAAATACAAATCACCCACATAGTTTACATGCACTAGTTTATGTATGTCATGTAGAATACAGAACACATATTGGAATTCAAATACTTCATCAACTAGTTAACACTGTCAGAGGTCAATATAATGGTGCAGATTTTACCTACCTGTATACTGGCCCCTATACACTAGAACTCCTGTGTAAAATGTACAGGGAAAGCACTATTTAAACTTAGTATGTCAGTACAGCATATTTGAATTAAATAAGACATCTCAGTAGGTAATCACTTATGTCATTACCGTGGATTTCTTTGATCATGTTACCACAGAATATTCACAACCCCCAATTTGTAAATTAGCTTAAAATAAATTGTAAATTATGAATTTGAAGCAAGCACAAGCTTGAGTGATTTAGGTAAGTCTTTTACATGTAAAGATGAGGTGTGATTAAGTCTGCATAAAATACAATCTAAAATTTCAGAGTTTATAATACCAAAGCCATTTTCCTGTTTCCATAGAAACCAAACTTATCCAAAAAGAATGGTGTTGTGTACATTTAGGCAAAAGTGATCTACCCTTCAGTTTCTGAGAAAATCTGAACAGAAATGAAAGTGCTGGCAGACATTGTGATAACTACAGGACACCAACATTTCATGTAAGGTCCTTTACACTGTTCATTCACAATGAAGTTTTATGTGCATTTCTTTGTACATATTGTTATGTGATGTCCATTCTACTGAGCATATCTGAGCGGACGGAATCAACAGGTGAAAGGCGACTTAGTGATACATTGACATCTAAATGACTACAAATCTGCCGCATCATCTCCTGTTGTTGTTTTTGTGCTGCCTGCATCTGTAGCAACCTAACAACAGATCATGTCATAATAAAGCAACCTGCTAACAGACTATGTCATTATATAGTAACATGGCAACAGACAATATCATTATATAGTAATGTAATGTGTTGATTGCTGGTGGAACCTTATATATTATTTAATTTTAAACAAGACAAACTGCTTTCCAGAACTTACATGGCCTTTTGCTTCCTCATGTCATGTTTAATTTGGTTCAACATATCTGTTGTAGGATCGCCTCCATCTTCCTCTAGATAGGTGTCATTGTTTTCCACCTTTAAGATTCTCTTCTTGAACTATAATGATACATCCACATCAATTATATATAATATGTCTTCCACTAGAGCATGCAGCAATTCCTTTAAGAACAGTATAAAGCATGTGTAGAAAATTCATGATGATCCATCACAAATCATAACCTTTCAGTTAATGTAATCTAAAATCCACATTATTATAGTAATCCTTCACAATTCTACATCATTACATCACAACTTTAAAAATATGTAAATATAATCCACATCACAACCTCATGACCTTGGTAATCCTTCAAAATTATGATAATATGTCACTCTTAAGCCTATAATCCATTATTTATCCACCCTCTCATCTCACAGGTATGTTCACTAGATTCACTTGAGCTCTACATACAGGTCTTTTTATAAGCTACTTGAGACAGCGCAATTTCACTTTAAACAGAAACTTACCTGATTCCAACATGACAAGCTTTCCATGTTTGGCTTCAGCTCGAATCTGCGTTTATATAACTTTCTCTGAAGGATTCTTGGGAATGTAGCCTCATAGGAGCAAAGCATTTGTATCTATTAAAACAAAACAATAGTTAAGCATTATGTATGGTTCATACTTGTGTAAAACACACTTCTGACAGACAAGTATTGAAACATTAAGACATTAGCTCATCCGTCCCTTATTAGGGTTGTTTATATATATAAGTGTCAATTATTACATTAAAATTTTTGCCTCGTGCCTACAGGCTAATATGCAGTTTAGCCAGTGTTACCTATTAATTATCTAATTAAGCTAACCTGAAGTTAGTGTCCGTCTGAACTCATTAGTGTAAACCTCTAGTTATAGGTGTTAGTTTACCTGTGGTAATGGAGGTGTTAGTTTACCTGTGGTTATGGAGGTGTAAGTTTACCTGTGGTGATGGTTGTTTTAGTTTACCTGTGATGATAGATGTGTTAGTTTACCTGTGGTGATGGTTGTTTTAGTTTACCTGTGATGATAGATGTGTTGGTTTACCTGTGGTGATGGAGGTGTTGATTTACCTGTGGTGATGGATGTGTTAGTTTACCTGTGGTGATGGATGTGTTAGTTTACCTGTGGTGATGGATGTGTTAGTTTACCTGTGGTGATGGATGTGTTAGTTTACCTGTGGTGATGTAAGTTTATGTGTTATGTGTTAGTTTACCTGTGGTGATGGATGTGTTAGTTTACCTGTGGTGATGGAGGTGTTAATTTACCTGTGGTGATGGATGTGTTAGTTTACCTATGGTGATTGATGTGTTAGTTTACTTGTGGTTATGGATGTGTTAGTTTACCTGTGGTTATGGAGGTGTTAGTTTACCTGTGGTTATGGAGTTTACCTGTGGTTATGGAGGTGTTAGTTTACCTGTGGTTATGGAGGTGTTAGTTTACCTGTGGTTATGGAGGTGTTAGTTTACCTGTGGTGATTGATGTGTTAGTTTACCTGTGGTTATGGAGGTGTAAGTTTACCTGTGGTGATGGAGATGTTAGTTTACCTGTGGTTATGGAGGTGTTAGTTTACCTGTGGTGATGGATGTGTTAGTTTACCTGTGGTTATAGAAGAATTTTTTTAGCCAATTTGATGGAGATGTTAGTTTACCTGTGGTTATGGAGGTGTTAGTTTACCTGTGGTGATGGATGTGTTAGTTTACCAGTGGTTATAGAAGTATTTGTTTAGCCAAGGTGATAGAGATGTTAGTTTACCTGTGGTGATGGAGATGTTAGTTTACCTGTGGTTATGGAGGTGTTAGTTTACCTGTGATGATGGATGTGTTAGCTTACCTGTGGTTATGGAGGTGTTAGTTTACCTGTGGTGATTGATGTGTTAGTTTACTTGTGGTTATGGATGTGTTAGTTTACCTGTGGTTATGGAGGTGTTAGTTTACCTGTGGTTATGGAGGTGTTAGTTTACCTGTGGTTATGGAGGTGTTAGTTTACCTGTGGTGATGGATGTGTTAGTTTACCTGTGGTTAAAGAAGAATTTTTTTAGCCAATTTGATGGAGATGTTAGTTTACCTGTGGTTATGGAGGTGTTAGTTTACCTGTGGTTATGGAGGTGTTAGTTTACCTGTGGTGATTGATGTGTTAGTTTACCTGTGGTGATGGATGTGTTAGTTTACCTGTGGTTATGGAGATGTTAGTTTACCTGTGGTGATGGAGATGTTAGTTTACCTGTGGTGATTGATGTGTTAGTTTACCTGTGGTTATGGAGGTGTTAGTTTACCTGTGGTGATGGATGTGTTAGTTTACCTGTGGTGATTGATGTGTTAGTTTACCTGTGGTGATGGATGTGTTAGTTTACCTGTGGTGATGGAGATGTTAGTTTACCTGTGGTGATTGATGTGTTAGTTTACCAGCGGTTATAGAAGTATTTGTTTAGCCAAGGTGATGGAAGTGTTTGTTACCTGTGGTCATTTAGGTGTTTGTTTATTTGGGTCATGAAGGTGTCCAAATTGCATATGGTTATATAGGGACAGTTAATTAACCTGTACTTATGGAGGAAGTTTGTATTTTTTAAAATTTAAGGGAGGATATATTTTACCTGTAGTGATAGACGAGTTAGATAAGCCTCTTTCTGTATCTTGTCTATGTCACCCACAGCAATTCCAACCTGTTGACAATGAATACCGGAGAGGTTGAAAACATCAACAATAATATATGGTCTGATGTTGGATATTGTAGCAAATACATACACAAGTAAATGACTAGTACATATATCAAGGTATGTTGAAGTCATCTGGCTATAAAAGTATATACATGATACAGGCTCAATGGGCCTGAATTGTTCATTTGCTCAACAGCTGAAAGGGAAGTTTGTCTGTTGATAAAGTCAATACCTGTAAAACTGAAATCTTATTCTCAAGCATGCTACTACAGAACTACCATGCTCCAGGACCTATTGCTTGCTGGAAGAACAAATTTAACACATTTAAACAAACATGGTAGCACTTTACCCCAGCATACTACATACAGGCCCAATATCAACAACCTAGGCCTTTTGTTTATTAAGAAGAAGTCATGTGAATATCTTGACACATTTGACCCCTGTGACCTTGACAGTGGGTCAAGGTCATCCATTTGAACAAACCTGTAACCACTTTATTTCAGCATGTTACAGGCCCACTTTTCTAAAAACTTAATCCATTTGATCATTGTGACCTTACAAGAAATTTTGAATGAAAATTTTATGCAAGGTGCACTATGAGAGACAAAACATGATGGCTATCAGTCATCCTGACCCTTTAGGTCAGATACCCTAATGAGAGCTAATCTGTACACAACATACCAGCAGGTTAATGAGAGCTAACCTATAGACAACTTACCAGCAGGTTAATGAGACCTAACCTGTACACAACATACCAGCAGGATAATGTGACCTAACCTATAGACAACTTACCAGCAGGTTTATGAGACCTAACCTGTACACAACTTACCAGCAGGTTAATGAGAGCTAACCTGTACACAACTTACCAGCAGGTTTATGAGACCTAACCTGTACACAGCTTACCAGCAGGTTAATGAGAGCTAACCTGTACACAACTTACCAGCAGGTTAATGAGAGCTAACCTGTACACAACTTACCAGCAGGTTTATGAGACCTAACCTGTACACAACTTACCAGCAGGTTTATGAGACCTAACCTGTACACAACTTACCAGCAGGTTTATGAGACCTAACCTGTACACAACTTACCAGTAAGTTCATTAAACCAATTGGCATGACAATCATGAACATGCCCATTAGAAACATGTTGTCTATTGTGTAAGGTGTGTTGAGGGTACTGGAGTAGTTATCCACAAAGTTGATTTCACCAAGGGTCATGGATAGAACAGTCATTGGGTACCAACTATCAGGTGTGAGACCGGGCTGAAGTGACAATGTATGGAACATTAATAAAAGTTTACAAAACACATACAAAGCACATTTCAATATGTATATCATAATACACAGTCTTCTGATAGATGGTGAGATGATTTGTGCTTTGCAGCACATCAACACTACTGAAATCTAAACATTACTACCACGGCTATTGGTTTGATACACCAGTTTATCTAACAAGTAAATGGTAGGTCATTCACACACAATCTTGAATGAAAAGTTATATATATATTAATAAGCTAGTGAATTGTTTTTATGTGCTTACAATTCTTTCATATCACAAATCTGTAACAGTGTAAGAACGACAGACATGTAAAGGTCATTTATTTATATAGTGATTTCCAATTTGTCCAGTCTGTGGTTCTTAATGAAGACTTGGCTACAAATCTACATCACAACTCACTGAACAAAATATATTATGTAGAATAACTGTGACGATATGAGAAATAAATGCAGACATAATGTAAATGATGTACATGTATGTGTACAACTATAGTTGACCTCATTGGTCCATATCAAACTACCAAAAGTGTCCACTCAATGTCCCACCATAGGAAATAAAGATGGTAAAACAAAGGTTTATAAAGTAACAGGATGTACCTCCATTTGGGATCGAACCCATGACTCCTCGCTTTTTGACCTGTCACTCTAATGATGAAGTTAAAGAGAAAACCCTATAGCATGAAGCTAGAAGGCGAATGTATCTATGTATATCAAAACTTAACACACTTAAACAAACCTATCCGTTAGCATTGACAACAACTACAACTTAACTTCCTACAAAATCTAAATACCACTTAATACTGTCTAGGGTCCAATTCCCTCAACCAACATGAAAAGGTAAGAGGTCACCTGCCCGACCACATGGGTTTCCCTCCCCCCCAAGTACCCAGGTTTTCTCCCACAATAAGGCCCCTCATGAGCTTACATCTAGGGCCAACAAGAGTGATTAGTATAAGTTGAAATAACATGTTTCGCAATGGTTGTAATAAAGTTTATATTAAGGTAAACCTAAGTATAAAATACTAGTAAATCTGAGGCTCTGAAAAGTAAAACCTGAAAGGGTTTCCCAAACAGAATATCCTGGATAGAAGTATGGTGTAGATATTCTAATGGAATAATGTTTTAGACAAAGTAAATCATGACATATACATAAGTTATATTGATTTCTATTTTTTCCATGTAGTGATTATACCTGCCGTATACTAAGATCCACTTACTGTTTGAGCCATTGTTATAGCAAAGGCACTGGCAAAAGACATAAGGAACAACACCAGGACTGTCATCACCTGTCAAAAAAAAGGGAGGCATTCAGCAAAACTGTTATCACTACTCAGAAGTTGAGAACCACAACTTTGTTTTGTGGTCTACAGAACATAACTCCCTAGCACCAAGTATAAATATTGCAATGTTTGGTTAATTGTTGCTTTACAGCCTATAAACAGGGTCAGGATCATTTAAGGACATGCCTGGATGGTGAAGGAAAACTGGAGTTCTGTGAGAAAAACCATTGACCTGTGGCCAGTACCTGGCAACTGCCTCATGTAGGCCTCAAACCAGCGACCCAGAGGTGAGAGGCTAGTGAACAAGATAAACAAACGCCTTAACCACTCTGCCATCGTGGCTCTACATTTACTGTAATTTAGTTTAAAATACATCCTGAAAATGACCTAGAAAATGTATAAATAAGGAGACATGACTTACTCTATTTCTTTGCAGTGATCAGATATAGAATTTTATATAATGATACTATGAGCTCACAAGATATGACAATGATTCTGAGCAGGACAGGATGCTATGGGACAAAACACAGTTGGACAGACACAGACAAAATAAGCATTTTTACTTGGAATTTTATTGTTATATTTGCAGTTGAAATTCTGGGGTTTTCATAGTCTTACCTTGAACAGCGATTGCATCACCTCTGTGAACATCACAAAGTATATTCCTATAGAATCTAGCCTGAAAACAGTCAAACATCATTATTATATAATTACAAATGCTGCCATTTTTGTATCAACAATGAAAAGTGTGAGGAACGTTGTTTATTTCTCAAGAACCTGACTGTAGAATACAACCAAGTTAACCAGCTCTTTTTTTTTGGCACATCACTTTTAACCAACCATGACCATTACTTTCATATAAGTATAGATTGACTTACTCCATTAACTGCTAATACAATTAAATAAATATGATATTAAGTTAAATATCAATATTTTATGTGATTATGATTAAAATGCAGAAACTTTTTTCTACTGTTATCACAGAGAAAATGGTTGGGGTTAGCCATCAGTCAATGGCTTTTATGAATGGGTGTTTCACACTGAACATAGAATACACCAGATAAATACTAGTACTGTAGATCACTCCTTCAGTTGTATTATTCTAAAAAAAAAGATATTTTAGATGTAAGTGTTGTCTTTTTATTTTATGGAATTACAAATAAAATTGAGCACTTCATAAACACTTTGCATTTACACAGTTTACCCCATGCTTCATTAGATTCATGATCTCACAAACTAAACAAAATGAAAGGTTAATCTTTAAATAACACAGGCAAAGTCAGAGGTCATCGTCATATACCACACATACAAGGTCAGATGTTACAAGGTCAAACATCATCATTACATAACACAGACAAGGTCAGAGGTCATCATCAAATACCACACAGACAAGGTCAGAGGTTACAAGGTCAAACATCCTCATTACATAACACAGACAAGGTCTGAGGTCATCATCATATACCACACAGACAATGTCAGAGGTCATCATCATATACCACACAGACAAGGTCAGAGGTTACAAGGTCAAAGGTCATCATTACATAGCACAGACAAGGTCAGAGGTCATTAGCATATACCACTCAGACAAAGTCACCTCTATGATGGATGTTGACATAGACAAAATCACAGGAGTGATATCTTTTTATACGGTATTTATCTAACCTACTACAGACATCATTTCTCACATTTAATATCTTTGCTTGTTTCTGTCATTATTTAAATATGACAATGAACTAGTTATTTAGAATTACCCAGACAGGTTATGCATGAAGAGAATACATGATGAGAGGGCAGCAATCCATCCAGCTCTCCACTCAGCCTCACAAGGGAGATAACCACTTGGTATAAGGAAAAACAAGGTCGATACCAGCATTGTTATGATCAAGTAGTTGTTTATATTCTTGAAATAGTGCACCCTCTGTCAAGGAAAAATTACAAGACTTTCATAGCTTTTAGAGGTGATTAAGTACAGTGTATTGAGTTTATTGTAACCACACAGTTAACAGAAATGTTATATACATTACATATATAACCTAGAACTATATAGTAACCTGGTAATAAGATATAACTATATAGTAACCTGGTTATTTTATGTAGTAAACTGGTTATCCTATATAACTCCTTGTAACACTATTATTCTATATAACTGCACCATTATAATGAATTTATTTATAGCTACACTGAACTAAATGTTATTGTATTTACTTTCTAAGTAAAACCTTGTTATATTAGTATACAGCTTACCATTACTAGGATGCTGATGATTTCTCTGATACAGTAAAAGTTTGTGATGCCAATCAGTATGTTGTTAAATGCTAATGCCACAGGATTTGTAACTTTCCTGTAAGAATAACTTCCCTCCTATAAAAGAAACAACAAAAACTTGGTATTGGATCAAAAACTGAACAAAAGCAGACAATCAAAGGTTCAGACCTAACAGCTGATGTAACTTACCGCCTTCAGACTGGCCAGAAGTATAGGGTCTTCTGCCTCTGTGGCATTGACTATGACTGGACAAGACCGCACATCGTCCAATATACCAGTGGTAATCTTTGGTACTAGAGCCATGTAAGTGAGGAGGATGATCAAGAACAAAAAGTAACTGGCTAAGTTAAGGTAGAACAAGACACGCCCAAAGTTCCTCCTGTCAGACAGATTAGACATTCAGATTTACTTTGTACAGCAGGTGTTTACAACACAGGTTAATTTGCAGTTAGCATACAGATTAGGAGATACTTTACAGGTAAAACACAGGTAAAACACAGGTAAATCATCTATTAATTGACAGTATCCTTTACATCTTCCTGGTAAAACATACATTGTACACATACAGCAAAACCTGTTAATACAGGTGATAAGACAGGGTTCATTTTGATTAGAAACAAAAACAGGTATTAAGACTTTTTACCACTTCGTTTATGATTAATGATGACTTACCACTTCATGAGGAGAAGACTTTGAACAAGAGGGTGGCCCAGAAGGTCGTCACGCTTCTTCTCCACCATTGTCTGTCAATTATGATAGTGTTGCTGACAGTATTAGATACATGTAGATAAAAACTTGTCAACTTTAATTATTAAAACTGACCAATGTCACTGTAAACAACCGTTTGTACTTACATGTACAGCGAAGTATCTAATCTGTTGACAGCATGGGTCACTTGGTCCAGGGTCTATAAACTTGAAGTCATGCTTTGCCTATTAAAAAAGTGATGGCAGAATGGAATTGGAATTTTTCATTCAACAAAAATATCATTTTAACACATATTTGTTTGTATCATGACATATCATTGTATGTTTATCTGCCTGTGTATTTCTAGGTGAAATTGATTAAATGTTTAGTCCCATAGTTCATCCTTGTCTGTTAGGAATTATGGTGTGTGTTGTGGGAATAATGAAAACTAAATGTTAAGATATTGGTGATTGTTTGTAGTTTATTTTAGCTGGTAACATGTTTTTTTCTGTAAACATGACTGCTAAAAATGTAATAAATCTGGTTATTGAAATTCATAAATCATGTCTGATTTTAGGTAGGTGTGATATGTACTACAATAATTGGAGCCACCATATCAGGTTTCAGAAAAATTAAAAATGCCATATAAACTATATATATTTCATAGATATATTCTTTTATTTATTTACTCAAATATATTCATTGAACAACACTAACTAGGTACTAGTTAATTACTATTAATTAGGAACTAATTGATACTAATTACTATTAATTAGGCACTAATCGATACTAATTACATTGAAGTTACTAATGATTGCTGACTTACTGTGTATTGTAGATCATCCTTCCTGTGGTCTGAGTATTCCATACAGTTATCCATCACCACCTGGTACACAAAACAGTAAAACTAAGTGAAATAATATTAAAAAGTCTAACACTCTCTATCATGGACATGCTACAACAAACAATATTTTGTCCGGGAAATGAATCCCTTGAAATATAACGTTCAAAACTCAGAAATATGATTCACTGAATCAGAATAAGGAAGATGACACAAAGTTATGAGTACAAAACAGGCTCACCAAGGCAGCCTCTGGAACTTTCTCTATAAGACGCTTCATAGGTGTAAATCCATCTTCATCCCTCATCTCCATACTGTCCCGCCAGCTGTAACAATGAGACACACAATAGTTACTTCTTCAATGTTAAAGTTTAATATATTGGTATAGGTTTGTCTGCAAAGATGTGTCATTTATATCGACTGTAAATGCGTAATCAAGGCAGTTTCAATTTAAATCTACTTAAAAGCAAGTCTTGATAGCAGTTTTAAACATATGAATATTGACAATGCGGCAAAAGAATCAAGTTTTAAAAACATTTATCACACAAGCATTTCTTTGTAATTGGAAATTCACCAATTTGAACTACATGTAATATTAATTTTGATATTGACACAGATACATCAATATATATATAAACCAGGTTTACATTAAACATACTGACCTTGTGTGCTTTAGCATCTCTATCACAACGTCTGTGTGCTTGTTTTCAATTGCAGCATCAATCGCTGTCTTTCCGTAGCTGTTCCTACTTGTGACTTTGGCATTGCGACACAACAACAGTTTGGCAGTGTCAGAATGCCCATGATAAGCAGCTATATGTAGTGGCGTGTTCTGTGTGGATAAAAGGATGTTTTTCTTAGAGAATTCAAATTAACCAACAATAGACTATAACTCCAGCCTGATATCATAACAATCCCCATTTACTTTACAAGAACAGATAAACAGGTGTTTAACCTTGACTTCACTTCCGATTTTAACTTAAACTTGTCAACATTTTGTTACTTGATATTTGAATTCTCCTTAATCTTGTCCTCGCTTAACCTTAACCTTGTCACTGATTTTTGTTGATCTTGTCACTTACCTCTTGGATTTTATGCCATTGTTTCACATATCACTGATTTACCTTGACCTTGTCATTGATATACCTTAACTTATAACTGATTTACCTTGATTTTACCACTGATTTACCTTGATTTTATCACTGAATTACCTTGATTTTATCACTGTTTTACCTTGACCTTGTCACTGATTTACTTTGACCTTGTCACTGATTTACCTTGATTTTATCACTGATTTACCTTGATTTTATCACTGATTTACCTTGATTTTATCACTGATTTACCTTGACCTTGTCACTGATTTACCTTGACCTTGTCACTGATTTACTTTGTCTTTGTCACAGATTTACCTTGATTTATCTGATTTACAATGTACCTTGATTTTATCTCTGATTTACCTTGATTTTATCACTGATTTACCTTGACCTTATCACTGATTTACCTTGATTTTATCACTGATTTACCTTGACTTTGTCACTGATTTTACCTTGACCTTGTCACTGATTTACCTTGACCTTGTCACTGATTTACCTTGACCTTGTCACTGATTTACCTTGATTTTATCACTGATTTACCTTGATTTTATCACTGATTTACCTTGACCTTGTCACTGATTTACCTTGACCTTGTCACTGATATTAATTTCTGCATAATTATTCAGCAGCAGTTTGACCAGCTTTGTGTGTCCAGCACCCGTAGCCAGCATGGTAGCTGTCCTATATTCTTCATCCCTGCAAACAGATATGATTTTTAACATAGTTTTAACAAACCAGCAATTTTGTCTCTAGCTTTTACACACAATCTTAACTAACACTCTCTTAATGTTAAACAAATAAGACTGATAATTTACCATTTCCTTTTCAACTATATAACCATTAAATGGCCCCATCTTTACACTAATTTCTCATCGTTATAGTTTTTCCATAGAGTTTTACCTTGAGCATTTTTAACGAGGTTTGCAATCATCCATAGAGATGGGTCTTTCCAAGTACCAGTATTAACCTACCTCATAGAGAGGTCTGCTCCATGGTACAACAATGCCTGGGCTGTGTTATAGTTTCCCATCTCTGCTGCTACCATGATTGGAGTTTTACCATCACTGTCTGGATCATTGAGTTCTGTTTGACTGGCCTGCATCAGGATATCTATTACTTTGGCATTACTGTACCTAGAACAGAAAAATACCACCAAACAATGACTTTTGTGTTTCTGTATCTAGTCAGTATCAATGACCTTTGTGTTACTGTATCAAGTCAGTATCAATTACCTTCATGTCACTGTATCCAGTCACCATCAGTGACCTTTGCCCTACTGTAACTAGTCACTATCGATGACCTTTGTGTTACTGTATCAAGCAAGTATCAATTACCTTCATGTCACTGTATCCAGTCACCATCAGTGACTTTGTCTTACTGTAACTAGTCTATCGATGACCTTTGTGTTACTGTGTCTAGTCACTATCGATGACCTTTGTGTTACTGTGTCTAGTCACTATCGATGACCTTTGTGTTTCTGTATCTAGTCACTATTGATGACCTTTGTGTTTCTGTATCTAGTCACAAGTACTATTGATGTCCTCTCTGTTACTGTATATGGCCAGTATCAATTACCTTCATTTAGTTACCATTAATAACTTAACCTATGTGTTACTGTGACTAGTCAGCAGCAAACAATGACTGTTGTGTTTCTATATCTAGTCATCATCTGTGACCTTTCTGTTACTGTATATAGTCAATATTGATTACCTTCGTCTTACAGTACAGCAATATTTTAGTTACTGTATCCAGTCACTATCAGCAATATTTGTGTTACTGTATCTAGTCACTATCAGCAATATTTGTGATACTGTATCTAGTCACCATCAGCAATATTAGTGTTACTGTATCTTGTCACTATCAGCAATATTTGTGATATTGTATCGAGTCACCATCATGACCCTTGTGCTTCTTTGTACTAATTATTTAGGCAATACATCTTTAGTAAATTTTCCAACAGTACCCATCCCACTCATACTTCACACTTACTCAGCAGCGACATGCAGTGGTGTTTTGCCATCCTGGTCTCTAGCATCCAACCTAGACTTGTGCTTCAGAAGTGCACATAATATCTGTTTGAAGAAAAGTCAGCACATTAATTTCACTTTTCTGCCTCAAGGTATTTAGATATTGGCTTTACATAAATGGAGAAATCTCTTTAACATTTTTAGATACCACATTCGTTTATCTTTGCATCACTGCTTTTTAAAAGAAGCTTTTCATACATGTTTGTCTGACTCTGTGCCTGCTCTGATTGGAGCCTGTTGTAAACATCTCCCACCAACAGCTACTTACATTCATGTCCCCAAGTTTGGCAGCATAATGAAGTGCTGTTTGGTCTGTCTGGTCCAAACATTCCATCACAGAAGAACAGCCATGCTGTGAAATAAAGTTATAACATTCTTATACTTTCTTGTCTTTTCGTTCCTGAGAAGAACATATCTCATGGCACAGAAAGCTAACAATGAACCAAAACATAGCTCACTGGATCCCCAGGCAAGACAGATAAAAATGTCTGCAAAACTATTTCCATAGCGAAAGGTGCATCTCATAGCAAAAACAGAAGTGATACCAGTAACAAGAACAAAATATTGTATTGTCAAGTTTGTAGAATCAAGTTTGTAGAATGAAGGTGACGGTCTTTGTTGTAAGATGAACAACCTTAATTGCTGATAACAATGCTTACTTGCAGTAGCTGGGTGATGACCTCAGGGTGACTGTTCTGAACAGCTAAATGGAGGGCAGTTCTGCAGGTCTGATCGGCCTGATCAATCTGGGCTCCATTTTTCAGCAGGAAGTTTGTTGTCTGTACGTGACCTTTCCAGCATGACATCATCAAGGGACTCATCTGATCCTCACTCTTTACATTCACATCTCCACCCTTAATGTTAATGATGAAAGTTTACTTCATATCACTTACCCAAATGTCCTGTTATCAACCAATAATAAACCCCGTACATGTGTCTTTTACATTAATCACTTTGTCCTGAACATCAATGTCAGACAAGGTCTGCAAGTGTTTGTGCTAATGTTCTCTCGGAATTGGCAAAGTTTGAATAATTATAGCATCAGAACAGGTGAAACTAAAAACAACATTTTTGTCTGGTAGTTATGAGATTTGATCACTTCTTGGTAAAATAGTCAAATGACTGACAAATTTACTCGTATCCTTACCTTATTCAACAAGATCTCGATAATCTGATACCTGTTGAACATTGCAGCTCTAAAACAATAAAAAGTAACATCAATAGTGCTTTCCTCTTCATGATCAGCAAGCACAAAAAGAATAAAGGATTTGGATCTCAAGTGTTTCTATGTTATCATCCAGAACTATTATCTCTATACAAAGCAACTGTATATATAGATATATGTGGGTGATTTTAATTTGTCACCCATTGACTAAGTCCTGATTGCAAAGTTGATTGGAGGTCACGTAGCATAAGTATAGTGCTTCCTCAATATCTAGCAATTGTATAAATCACAACAGGTTTAGGATCTCAACTATTTTCTTTTGTAAACCTTACATTGGGGTGTAAAACATGTTTCTGAAGGGACCTATTCCAGAGTCTATGGTAAGATCCTGAGAGCAATTACTGAAGACTTTAAATGGTATTGAAAACTATCTATATAATTTTTACCTGTACATGGGAACAGTTGTCCTGGTGAATATTAGACAGGCCATTTCTACAATTCAACACTAAAATCTAGACAGTACCTGTGAATGGCAGTCATATGTTCTTTGTCCCTCCTGTCTATGATGGCCTTGTAGGATAGAAGCAGTTCCGTGATTGGTACATTGCCATTGACAGCAGCCATATGCAATGGAGCTGAATGGGAGCCCTGTGTAGATATAACAGACAGTATTATATATGTAAAACTTGATTTATAAATAGAGAGGAGATAGACAATCCCACTATGGACCACACAACCAACATTAGTATTAGGTAAGATTTCCATCCTTTATGTGTCACAAAAGTAATGCAATTGATTCAATATTTTCATGAATGCACAATTAAAGTTAAAGAGAAAATCTGCTGTCAGAGTCAGTATGTAAAAAGCACTGAACAGAAAACTTTTCAATTTTCACTTGATCACATCTTTGGGAAGTGAAGGTGTGAACACGACATTTCATTGACAGAGGTTTGTATATCTCATGGGGTGGAGTCACAGTCTAGGACACAAATCACATCCCATGGTATACAAAACAGATCAATATCAAACACATCATACACAATAACTCTGGTTACTGTTAACATACATATTTCAGTGGTAATCATATCTGAGCACTTTTCATGCTGAACACACTGTGCTAAAATATGCTTGCACTAATTGAAGTCTATGTATTTTAAATGTGGATGTGCTGATTTATCACTGTGCTAATTTGTTAAACAATGATATTATGCTAAAATTTAATTAAGCCATATTAAGAATGTTTATTGTATGGTATTGACTGGTATAATATCTGTATTTAAGTGTACTGAAATAGGAATGATAGAAAGAATGTTCATTACTCATTGGTTTTATTCTATGCTAGAAAGTGGTAGAAAATAAAATTTCTTAAACATAACAAATTTTATATTATGGAGATCCTGGTCTTCTTGCTTATTGAAAAGTCAATTCACAAGTACTAAGGTTAAACAAATGTGAGTTCAATGACGTATCAATATGTTTATTTGTTTATTTATTTGTCGCCTGAACTGCAATTGATTCTAGTTCGTTTACTCTTTTTCATAGAACTAATATCAGGCCAATGGTAGGATGAACCATGATGATAGGTATTGTGTAGATAGGTAAAAACACAAATAAGCAAGCGAAAAAATGTTGTAAAAGCGTAAGTATTGAACAATGAGCATATCTTAAGAATTTAAGCCTTCGGATAACTCAATCAAAACAAGCTTACAGTTAGTGTTGCATGCAACACTCATCCCCTGCCATTTATTAAATATTCTAAGCAACATAGACCTTGATAACAATGAACAGATGTCTCATTTTAACAATTGACTGTATTCCCTCCAAAAACCAGTGTCTTGACAGGAAAACAAACTAAAACATTGACATGTCAGAAAGGACCTAGCTTTGTGTGTGACCATTAAGGGTAAATTTAACCATTCTAGTTACATTGTCAGTAAACACCTGAAGAGATGTAAAATTTGACTTTTACTTTTTGACATAGAGACTTTAAACATTGGTAGGTTGACTACAGGTGTTATTCTGACAAACTTTGCTTCCCACATCTTTGATGCGGGGCAATAAAAATGGTGATAAATGTCTGTTGTAGTAAATGACCTTCACAGCCTTTACAGATGACCTTTTGACCCCTAACTCAATGCCACCTTACATATTTTCTAATAATATTAGATTGTATTAAGTTTCAATACAATTGGTCAATCCTATCACAAGTTACCATCTGAAAGCCAAAATATGACAATAAAAGTCAATTTTTCGTAACAGGGACCTTTGTAGCTGATCTTTTGACCCCCAAACGCAATCCCACTATTTAGAACATCTTAAGCTAACTCTGTATGAAGTTTCAACTAAATCCATCAATCTTTGCTGGAGGTACCATCTGGAAACCAAAATTTGGACAAAAATATCTATTTTTAGTAACAGTGAACATCGTAGCCGTCCTATCAACCCCAAACTCCATCCTACTCTGTATTACCTCATAATATAATATTGAATGAAGTTTCAACAAAATCCATGAATCCTTTCTGAAGTAATCATCTAGAAATCAAAATTTGACAAACCATCTTTTTTTAGCAGCAGTGACCTTTGTAGTTGACCCTTCAACCCCAAATTTGTTTCCACACCGTATTATCTCACAATCTAACATAAAATGAAGCTCCCTTGAAATCCATTTTTTCTCAATTTATTTTCTGGAAACCAACATCCTGAAAGATAGACTCTTGGATGAACAGATGGACAGATAGACACATTGATGAAGACAAACATTAAAGTTCCCTCTGGTTTCACCGGCAGAGGACTGATGAAATGGCTGTTATGTAAGCAGTGAGCAGTACAACACGTTACAACAAAATCATGCTTCAGGCTTACCTCACACTGTACAATGTAATGATAAAGTTATATATTATATGTACAGATACATACAAGGTTTACTTTAAGTGATCAATTGATGAACATCCATTTCACAAATGATGTATTATTATCATCACTTCTAAGAAAATTACAAGAGTATCCCACTAAGTACAAGTTATCTCCCCTTTATGATTGCTTTAGTCATAACAATGTGAGGAACTTATGGTGGTAAACTTGACCAAGATTCATTGGAGTGAAATTTGAAGACCGGTGAAAGACTTGATGTCTATAATATTCTTTAAATTTCTAAAGAGCAATCACACATGTACAAGTTTATAAAGACGTTAAAGGACAATGAAAAACAAACCAAGGAAGATTACTCTCGACACACAAATGTCAATATGGGATATGTTTCTTATACACAAACATGTACATACCTAACCACTGAAAAACATGGCATCATCTAGACACATTCTACAGCTGTAATTAACCAATCAGTGTGACATTATGTACCAATAAGATGGATACAAAGACAAAAGGAAGAAATTAATATCCTAGCTGAACAACTCACATTTTTTTGATAATGATTTAAGACTGAGGACAGCATATTCTAAAATTATACTTACATTTCTTGAATTCACTGATGCACCCTTCCTTAGTAAGTATTCAGATGCCTAGAATAAGATAGATCAATCACAATGGAAAATGTCTGTGGAAGTTAAGATGGATATCAATGTATTAAAGAAACTAAAATATTGCACAAAAAATTTGTTAAGTCTATGGGAAGGAATTCACAGTAAAAAAAGATTACAAAAAAACATATACCAAACATACTCTGAAAAATCATCAAGATACACCTACCTCCAAATACCCCTGTATTTTACATACCTTGAGTTTGTTGTTGAGGATGGCCATGTGGAGGGCAGTGTTTCCCTCATTATCTCTGTGTGTTATCAGTCGGTCCTTACCAGCCAAACCATACAGATTTTCACCTGTCATCAAACATAATTACATATGTAAAGAAAAAACTTTGATACAATAAACTCCTAACTGGGTGTTATACTAATTAATATTCCCAATAAAATTTCTTGTTAAGGGAGAAATGTTCAAAGAGAGCCAAGAGATTACAATAACATTCCCATGAATGTATAAAAAATATTCCCAACAATGTCAAAATAAAATTCCCACATTGTCAAAAAATTCACAACTTTGTCAAAAATTAAAATGCCACAGGTAAAAAGTTTTCCCATGTGTTGGCATAATGTTAAAAACCATTCTTAATGTGTAACTTAACACAAACACTTCTCACCTGTTGTCCTGATTAATCATTACCTGTTGCCATAAATAGCTCCAACAAATCAATCAGTTCCTCAGCAGAAGCAAAGTGAAAGGCCAGTGTTTCATTAATGTCTTCAGCGTATATATTAGCTCCTTTCTCTATCTAAAGTAATTCAGTGATTGATACATTACAGATTGGTTAATACCTTCATTATACTATTGTATACTATATATGGAGAACACACTGAACTTTGCTAGCACCACTCTTTAGCTGAAAGAGCAAAAATAAAAGATGGACTGAAGTTGCATGTTTTGGCTGAAAGGTATGAATTTATGCATGATAGGATTTAAAAAAAAATTACTTTTGTATTTTACAACAATTGTGAACCAAAATTTTTCAACATATATCAATCAGTCTTGTTGGCATGGATGGGTCTTACTGTAAAAGGAAAACCTAGAGTACCTAGGAAAACCCATATGGTAGGGCAGGTGACTCCATACCTTTTCATGTTCATTTAGGGAATCAAACCCAGGACACCTGAATGAAAGTCGAGGGCAGAACCACAGTGCAACCTGACCATGCACCTTCTACAGGTAGTGTACACTGTAGTCTGAGTTTATACCGAGTGAAAATGAATTTTTTGATGTGATGGTAAATATTCCTGTGTATACAGTTAGAAAATATGTACACTACTGATGATGTTACTGTTACCATCTTACTGTTGTATTGTCGACAGACTCCACTGATACTCACAAGTAGTATGGCCATTTTTGTTTGTCGGTGCATCACAGCATCAAATAAAGGGGTGAGTTCATCTTCATCCACAGCATTTACGGCAACATGGCCTCCCACTCCTGTCAGCAAGGTCTGTTAACAAAAAATTTTATAATTAAGTTAATTAAACTCTGAATCAATAAAGGGCACCTCAATGACCAAACATGCAGTAAATTCCATAATAACTCATATTTTGAGTTAATTGATAAAAAGCAAAACCTGATTATTAAATTGTCTTCATTTGAAGAATACAGTGTAAAATATAAAGTGTCCATGCCCTTGCCATTTTAGAGGTGGGGGAGAGGGAGAAGGGTGGGGGCAGTATAATAATATTACATATGTCCGTCCCATCCCATCCTATTCCAAGCCAATGTCATATCTCTAAAAAGATTTAGTTGGTATCTAAACATACAGGTAACAGATTTTAATATCATGTATGTTTTAACACACATGCCAACAGGCACAAATTTGGGAATATGCAGATAAAGTTTGTATAATAACATATCAATTCCTGTACAACACAAAATATGTTTTCAATACATCAATATTTTGGTATGTTACCAGTAGTATATAGCTGACATTTTACCAGATGTATGATGTGTACAATAACACTGACTTTCCACTTAATGTAGTACTAGAAATATACATTACAATTACCTTGGGGAGAGAATGAGGATATGAAGATAACAAAAAAGGAAACACAACAATTAACACATTTAGTGATTCTACTGGCATACCGTCCTCACTGGACACTGGAGACTTCCATACATCAAGCATGTTGTCACTTCAATTATGGCATCAAATAACACACCAATATCACACAGATCAATACAATTATCAACTGATTTTCTGTGTTCAGATATTGATTGTTTTTCAATTGTTTGCAGTGAAACATGAAATCATTGTTTGGATGGTTCTGATACAAAGATGTTTATCAACAAAATCATTAATGGAAAATGTTATTTATTCAAAATAAATTGAATTCAGATTCATGCATGACTGTTATATTAGATGTTGTATGCAATAGCTAAGCATGACAACAAAATTCTAATGAAATTTAAACATTTCTATTGGTTGTCTGTAGTCAAGAAGTACTTTCTCCCACTTCTGCAAAACAGCAGCTAAAGTTTGAATTTACAGCCGTGACATTAAACAGTAAGTTAAAGACTTATATCTATTATGCAAAAATAACCCAGAGCGAATATTTCCTAAAGACAGTTTGTAAAATATGTTTTTGGAATAATCATCATCTAAATCCTCAACAGGTGCATTCCTTGACCTTTGACTTATGACATCACAATCACATGACAATGTTATCTGATGACAAAATAATTTGAATCCCATTACCATCAATGTTTCAACATTAATGATAATCATGCTATTGGCAAATGACACCATTTAATGAGTAACAAAACATTAAATTACACGATGAGATTCAGGCATGAAAATATGTTTACTGTGCCTTCATTTAATTTTAAGGTAAACCTTTGTTCTACCACATTTTCCCTATTTTTCCTTTCATAGTATTAATAAATTTGTGTATCATCTAAAACTTGATCTACATTATCGATTTCATTTGCATTGATATGTTTAGGTGTTAAGGTGTTAAGTGGTGAGAGAAAAATTTAATTATCAATATATATATATGGGATATAAAAATTCTACCTGATATGCTGTAAACTTCGGGTCAGGATCCAAGACTTACCCTTGCCATCTGTAGATGACCATGTCTGGCTGCCAGGTGTAGGGGAGTCTTCATTTTAGCATCCTGACACATTAGGTTGGCCCGTGATTGTATCAACACTTGTGCTGCCTCGCAGTTATTGTGTCTGGCTGCAGTATGTAAGGGGCAGTATCTGTATGGTCCTTCCTTATTCACATCTGTAACATAGGCACCACAGTCTTTGTCACATAGACTTCACAGCATGATATGGTGATGTACTTAGACAAGATAATCAAAATATGGGGCTGTACACTAGAAAAGCATCTCTAGGGTAGCCCTCTTTCATGACTTCTGGACGCCTTGTGATGTATATGATTCAAAACACTATACTGATGTTATCAGAAAATGTGTGTGTTGTGGAGATATTATGGGAATAAGACATAATCATGATCATGTGAAAGGAAATTGATACAGATTTGGTTTCTGTCTAATTAAATATTTCTTGTAAAATTTTCAAATCAAATGTTAAATATTTCATCAAAAAATAAAGGTCTTGTATATACTATACTTGAACTAAACACTTAATTTCCGATTCTTAAATCTTTAAATGAGAATGGGCTCAATGTTGATAATCATCCTTTGGTTGGTTATATTGAAAAGAAAAGAAAGAAAAAAAATGGTTGATGTCAAACAATTCTATGTATGGGTAAGAAGAAAGCTCTGATACAAGTGTGATTTCATAATCAAATCCATGTCTATACATAATCTTTACACTGAACAAGAAAGTGCAAATCAGTGTGATCCCGCAGCAGATGTCATTTACGTTGATATGAAGCCAGTGGTGTTTTAGGGTAACAATGATTTATGTGACAGTGTATGCATGCCTGCACCCTAACTCAACAAATTATCTCTAATTCATAAAAGACATTAAACAACGTGTGATTCTCTTGTTTACATTTATAATGGAGATTGACGAGACAGCAATCAATGCTGGGGACAAATAGTACACGAATGCACATGTATCATTGGTCAATACCACATACTCATTATCCAACCAAGAACATCAATATGGTGGAATATGAAATTGTCTAAGTTATGTCATTGTTGATTTTAACCACATTTCAACCTGTTTGCCTTGTTTTTTGTATGTTTTCCATTATACATTTACCAAACAATTTTCAAGGCACACTGTTATGGTACATATTGTTATTAGGTTATCTTATTTACTTTGCCAAAATCATTAAAGAGCTTATCAATTTTAAGTCACAATTAGTAGAGGTTACAATGTGAAGGAATCGAGAGTACCAAGAAAATCTATATAACACCTCTCTATGTTGGGTCATGGAATCTTGATGATAAATGACGTGTTATCCTGTGCACCACCGCACACATTTTATTGACCTTTTTTGATCTACAAGATTGATGGGTTTACCGTGATAATCTGACAATAAATCCAAGCCATCTCTTTTGTCTATTACAGTTTCAGTGTTTATACATAGTCATTTCATCCCCTTCTTTGAGTTGGAAGGTTTGGAGTTGGCTTTCTGGTCTTATTACAGAACAAATATCACCAGACCACCTTTCCAAGACTATCTTTCCCTGTGCTGCTTCCCTTGACCACATTCCCCAAAGCACCATCCCTAGATCCCCAGCCCCACCTTCCCCAAACCACCTTCCATTGAGTAACTTTCCCAGAGCACCTTCCCCTGTTCACCTTCTCCAGACTACCTTCCCCAGTCTACCTTCCTCAGAGCACCTTCCCCTGTTCACCTTCCTCAGACTATGTTCCCCAGACTACCTTCCTCAGAGCACCTTCCCCTGTTCACCTTCCTCAGACTATGTTCCCCAGACTACCTTCCCCTGAACAACTTCCATAAACTACCTTCCCCAGACTACCTTCCCCAGAGCACCTTCCCCAGACTACCTTCCCCAGAGCACCTTTCCCAGACTACCTTCCCCAGACTACCTTACCGAGAGTACCTTCCCCGGACTACCTTCCCCAGACTACCTTCCCCAGAGCACCTTCCCCAGCTTCCCCACTTCCCTTCCCCAGACTACCTACCTTCCCCTGAACACCTTCCCCAGACTACCTTCCCCTGAACACCTTTCCCAGACACCTTTCCCAGACTACCTTCCCCAGACTACCTTCCCCTGAACACCTTTCCCAGACTACCTTCCCCAGACTACCTTCCCCTGAACACCTTCCCCAGACTACCTTCCTCAGAGCACCTTTCCCAGACTACCTTCCCCAGACTACCTTCCCCTGAACACCTTCCCCAGACTACCTTCCCCAGACTACCTTCCCCTGAACACCTTCCCCAGACTACCTTCCCCAGACTACCTTCCCCAGAACACCTTCCCCAGACAACCTTCCCCAGAGCACCCTTCCCCAACACCTTCCCCAGACTACCTTCCTCAGAGCACCTTTCCCAAACTACCTTCCCCAGACTACCTTCCCCAGAGCACCTTCCCCAGACTACCTTCCCCAGACTACCTTCCCCAGACTACCTTCCCCAGACTACCTTCCCCAGACTACCTTCCCCAGACTACCTTCCCCTGAACACCTTCCCCAGACTACCTTCCCCAGACTACCTTCCCCTGAACACCTTCCCCAGACTACCTTCCCCAGACTACCTTCCCCTGAACACCTTCCCCAGACTACCTTCCCCAGAACACCTTCCCCAGACTACCTTCCCAACTGCACATATTGACTGTACTGTTTTACCAGCATTGTGCCTGATCAGAACTGACATGACTGCTACAGCATTGTGTTTGGCCGCTAGATGTAAAGGAGAGTTTCCTAAGTTGTCCACCTCATCGACAAGATCGGGTGAGTTAGCCAATAGGTCGGTGACACTTCTGCTATCATTCTCTCTAACAGCCTGTTAAACCAAACACAAGCAGATTAATGAAATGTTCCAGAAAAAAGGTCTTAATAACTGAACATCATCAAATGCTTATCACAACAAACAACAAAAATAATTAATACAGAGATGATGAGTTTATCTTATCACAAATTGTAAAGTGGTTTGATCAATTACCTACATGGTGTGTAGGGTAGACGTTGCGGATAATAGATCTACACATTACTGAAGAGTTAGAAAGGTTTGCATTTTTGAGATCCATACACCAGACAACTGGATGCAACAACAAAATAATCATCTATCAAACGTTACAACCTGAAATTGTACAACTACAAAAAACAAAAGAATTTTAAAATTTTCACTCTATTTGAAGACAATCTGATGTATGATGGGTATACTGTAGCAGGACATTAGCACATTTGGCAAGTTCTCTAAATCATTTCAGGATACAGCAGGTAAACATCAATGTATAAAAATTTTTACCACGTAATTTGAAATTGTTTTGATTTATGACAACACTTATTTTTGTGGTTTTTGTAAAATTTATACTAAAAGAGGTGACATCTATGTTTAAAGTTTTATTTCAATGCCACTGCAATAATCAATGTTTAGTCTGTATTTTCAAGGATGGCATCAAATTATAAAAACTAGATAAATGAAAATAAAAACAGATAAGAAATTCATAGTGCCTATACCGTGCTATGCATTTTGTATCAACCTTTTGGAAAAATTTAAAAAGACATGAGAAAAATCTCCAGTAGAAATTCTTGAAGAACCAACGTCCTGCTCCTCTTCTATCATCTTTCACTTTTGGTTGAAATTGTAAAACAATTTAAAATGTTTTAAGGGAGACAACTTTGAGTACTTACATGCCATAAAGAGTATGAAACTGGTACACTATTGTCCTCTATATCCTCCTCCTCCTCTGCATACAAGGAATGTACTTTTTGTGTGTCCTTTATCCCAAACAAAAAGTTAACCAGCCCCCTGCTATTGTTCTTCTTGGACCTTTTAGCAGTAGGAAGCTGAGCCTTAGGAACAGAAAGTAATCCTGGAGATTCATCACTTTTTGTAAAACCTTTCCTCACCAAAGCTCGGAAGCTGGTGCTTTTCCTTAACCCACCATCTTTATGGTGTAAGTCTTGTTGTTTCAGAGTGTACTTATCACCATCCACAGGTTCTACAATAATCTCAGGTGAAGAGTCCTGTTCCTCTTTGGAGGTTGCCATAATTGACTCCTCTAAATCCTCCAGGGAGTTGGTGGTATTAACAGGGGCAGACTTGCCCTCACCCACCTGTAAATGTAGACAGTATACAGTCACTGTGAAGCATAATGTTCACTCTCCACTAATACACATTATATACAGCTACCTGTATAGGACCGGTCTACTGTATTAATTCAAGTAAACATTTTGTGAATTGACTTTTATCCTTGACTTACAAGAGGGCATCTAAAAGGGTGCAAAATGTCAGTCCAGGACATTAACTTTCAACTTCAAGTGCAATGCACATCCTTAAGAATATTAAATTCGGCTGATAAAGAAACCTATTACAATTGAAAGACCTACCAAGAACTAGATTTTTATAGATACTACAAGGAACTACAGAAATCCTTTACAATTATAGAATCTGCCTCGAACTATGGGCAATAACCTTTAAAGATTTAAGAACCACATGGAACTACAGAACCCATGTAGATAAAGGACCCCTACCTCCAGCTTTGGACATCCTTTAGGGTTTTAGAGACAACAGATGAAACAACAGAATTCCTACACAGTTGTAGAGTTTTACATATACCTGTATAGTTGGATCTAAGTGAAGGTATAAGCACTAGGATTGTGTTTTTAATTCTTGATCCAACAGTGGTATAGTCACTACAACACACAAATCTATAGTAATAATATTGTATTAAGTGTATAAGTAGAACACAAAATCTAAATTTTAATTGGTCCTTTAACCCCTTTTATTTGGTTTTACTTTGGTTTGGTCATTGAAAGCTCTAAATATTGACCTCCTCTATGAAGTAAGTATAGGCTGTCATCCACTACCTCTGATTTTTATATATTAACGGTTGATGTTGTAATTTGGCTGTCATCCACTACCTCTGATTTTTATATATTAACGGTTGATGTTGTAATTTGGCTGTCATCCACTACCTCTGATTTTTATATATTAACGGTTGGGACATATGACCGAGACTTATTTAAATTTGCTTTTAAAGGAATAATAATGGTGAATAGTTTCTATAAATTACACATATGATTGCACACTTTTTAACATGGCACACAATTTGGACATGACCCTAGTCGTCTAACCCGTCAGAGAAATAAAGACTTATACTAATCTTAAAATGCCTTATAAATCACCAAATGTATTCATGGACCTTTCTATATGGTTTCACGGTCACTGCATCAATTTATTTTTTTATTGAAATATGCTCAGTTATCCAGTTTAAATAAGTTTTCTTCAAAGCGATTTAACATAAAGACAATTTGTGCAGTTATATTGTGCAACAGAGGATTATTCATTTTTCTTAATTTTTCAGACCCAGTACAATGGTAGAACCATTTGCAGTGGCACTCTCTGTATGGTTGTAACATCAGCTAGTCACACACTTTGTACAGTTAAAGTACTGTACAGAACTAATACCATCTTGTAACATTCAACCTACAGTTAAAAACTTACCTGTTATGAAAAAAAATGTATATCCAGTGCAATCTCTCATAGGCCTTACCTGATAATTCTCATCTACTGACATTGGCAAGAGCTGGTGCTATGTACATGTTTAGTTTGATGATTAAATGTTGTCCTTAGCACAACACCATACAGCTCAAGATCGGCTGTCACGACCCTAACAGACATTTTACATTGAATCAAACAATCACAGAACAATAGATACAAATTACTTACCTGCTTTGCACAGCTGAGTGATCACATTGTGTTACTAAACACCTGTAATCTGTATATAATAAATGTCTTAAAGGGTCAAAGATTAAATCCCAAATTAATCTTAATACCAAACATTTATTTGTCTGTCATGACTTAAAATATATACATCAGTACCATTAAACACACAAAATATGGCATCAACTCCGTCATACAAAATATGACATCAACTCAGTCATACAAAATATGGTATCTACTCTGTCATACAAAATATGGCATCAACTCAGCCATACAAAATATGGTATCTACTCTGTCATACAAAATATGGCATCAACTCAATCATACAATAAAACTCTGTCATACAAAATATGGCATCAACTCTGTCATACAAAATATAGCATCAACTCAATCATACAATAAAACTCTGTCATACAAAATATGGTATCTACTCTGTCATACAAAATATGACATCAACTCTGTCATACAAAATATGGCATCAACTCTGTCATACAAAATATGGTATCTACTCTGTCATACAAAATAAGGCATCAACTCTGTCATACAAAATATGGCATCAACTCTGTCATACAATAAAACTCTGTCATACAAAATATGGCATCAACTCTGTCATACAAAATATGGCATCAACTCTGTCATACAAAATATGGTATCTACTCTGTCATACAAAATAAGGCATCAACTCTGTCATACAAAATATGGCATCAACTCTGTCATACAAAATATGGCATCAACTCATGGCATCAACTCTGTCATACAAAATATGACATCAACTCTGTCATACAAAATATGGCATCAACTCTGTCATACAAAATATGGTATCTACTCTGTCATACAAAATATGGCATCATACAAAATATGGTATGTCATACAAAATATACAAAATATGGCATCAACTCTGTCATACAAAATATGGCATCAACTCAATCATACAATAAAACTCTGTCATACAAAATATGACATCAACTCAGTCATACAAAATATGGCATCAACTCTGTCATACAAAATATGGCTGTCATACAAAATATGGCATCTACTCTGTCATACAAAATATGGCATCAACTCATGTCATACAAAATATGGCATCAACTCTGTCATTATAAAATATGGCATCAACTCTGTCATACAAAATATGGCATCAACTCATCAACTGTCATACAAAATATGGCATCAACTCAATCAACTCAAAATATCATACAAAGTATGGCATCAACTCATTCATACAAAATATGGTGTCTATTCTGTCATACAAAATATGGTATATACTCTGTTATACAAAATATGGCATCAACTCATTCATACAAAATATGACATCAACTCTGTCATACAAAATATGGCATCAACTCTGTCATACAAAATATGGCATCAACTCAGTCATACAAAATAAGGCATCAACTCAATCATACAATAAAACTCTGTCATACAAAATATGGTATCTACTCTGTCATACAAAATATGACATCAACTCTGTCATACAAAATATGACATCAACTCATTCATACAAAGTATGGCATCAACTCAATCATACAAAGTATGGCATCAACTCATTCATACAAAATATGGTATCTACTCTGTCATACAAAATATGGTATCTACTGTCATACAAAATAAGGCATCAACTCTGTCTTATAAAATAAGGCATCAACTCATTCATACAAAATATGGCATCAACTCTGTCATACAAAATATGGCATCAACTCATTCATACAAAGTATGGCATCAACTCAATCATACAAAGTATGGCATCAACTCATTCATACAAAGTATGGTATCTACTCTGTCATACAAAATATGGTATCTACTCTGTCATACAAAATATGGTATATACTCTGTCATACAAAATATGGCATCAACTCATTCATACAAAATATGACATCAACTCTGTCATACAAAATATGGCATCAACTCTGTCATACAAAATATGGCATCAACTCTGTCATACAAAATATGGCATCAACTCAGTCATTCAAAATAAGGCATCAACTCAATCATACAATAAAACTCTGTCATACAAAATATGGTATCTACTCTGTCATACAAAATATGACATCAACTCTGTCATACAAAATATGACATCAACTCTGTCATACAAAATATGGCATCAACTCTGTCATACAAAATAAGGCATCAACTCATTCATACAAAGTATGGCATCAACTCATTCATACAAAATATGGTGTCTATTCTGTCATACAAAATATGGTATCTACTCTGTCATACAAAATAAGGCATCAACTCATTCATACAAAATATGGCATCAACTCTGTCATACAAAATAAGGCATCAACTCATTCATACAAAATATGGCATCAACTCTGTCATACAAAATAAGGCATCAACTCTGTCATACAAAATATGGTATCTACTCTGTCATACAAAATATGGCATCAACTCATTCATACAAAATATGGCATCAACTCAATCATTCTTACATTGTCTTTGTTACATTACTAAGGTGATATATGTAACAAAGTCATAAGTAATTGTGATACTGAAGACAGAAACTAAAAACATGAAAATCAAGAAGAGGTATGATATAAGTGTTTGAACTTTTTTATTTCTAAGAAATCTCATGGCCAAACTAAGGTTATCTTGTAACCTATTCCTTGTCTTTAAATGTTTACATAATTTCACAAATAAATTCCGGTGATTCCTATTTCCTTTTTATGTCTGTTTTTAAGAACTCCAAGCGACTTGGATACAGTATGACTTTTACTTCAGTGTATGATGATTACACAATGAAGTATTTAATTGAAGTGGTTAGAAAGAGAATGTTAGTAATATGGAAACGGTCATATAATATCATGATAAATATTTCATTGGGCATTGTCTGACATTAGCGACTAGAGTAGGAATCTTGACAACAAGAATGTGTTTCATTACTTAGCACTAGCTAGTGTATTGGTATAGAAATGTTATGCAGGCAATAAAGTTTCACTGTCTGAGAGTGAAAACTAATGACAAAGTGGTCGGTGAAAAAAAAAGATTGTATGATCCGTCCTTATTGTTTTTCTTAATAGTTGGAATCAAATTAAAATCACAACAACAGCATATCTCATGTCAGAATTAAGCTTGATCATTTTGGAACATCCAAAAATCTCACTGTTCCTCTTGTTCGTCATTACATACCTGATAGTAACGAGGCATATCTGGGTAACAAATTTCTCATCATCTGCTTCTGTATAATGAACACTCTCAGTATAATTGATACAGTACACATGTTTTACAAAGTAGTATTGACCATTCAATCAGGTACATGTGATATCATTTGACTGGTTCATATCATATGGTATGAACTAGTGACAAAATTCACACTTTCCTAAGTATGAACTGGTTTAACAGTCTTAAGTGGTTCAGATTTAAGTGCAGGTAATAGTTTTGGTTCATATATAGATATTATCACTGCGAGATTCCTGTATATATAGACAGATAACAGTATTAAGATGGTTTGATAAATACCTAGGGTATATTAGCATTTAAAGAGCACATTCATGATTCCTTGTATTTAAACTTCCAGAATGTCAATAACAAGTTATAAAAGAAAACTAGATTACCAAACAGAGCCTGCCTAGCTGAAGTACACATACTGGTGTGCATATCACAAAACCAATACAAATATTTACTATTGTGGTATAAATGAACTAAATGAGAAAGAATCATGGAAGCTCGCTGCCTTCAACAAAGATAATGATCACCGCAATTACTGAATTATATTACAAATCCATGGTCATCCCGCAAAGCCATGGGGAAACTGAGAATGTCAAGTGCAGCTCCAGAAAAATCCAGGCTATACATGGCACAGTAAATTTAACCTCAATAGAATATAACGTTAAAAAAATCGTAAATTCTTAGCCTGTGTGTTTGTCTTAGGTTGTAGTACTTATCTGTGTGAGTACAAGATCTCATCCATACATGTAGCTATGAATTACCCTTGAGAGAGGTGGTTGTGAGTTATCTCCGTGAGCTGTGCTATTATTGTGAGTTATCATTGTGAGAGGTAGTTGTGAGTTATCCTTGTGAGAGGTTGTTGTGAGTTATTATTATGAGATGTGATTGTGAGGTATCATTGTGAGAGGTGGTTGTGAGTTATCCTTGTGAGAGGTGGTTGTGAGTTATCATTGTGAGAGGTGGTTGTAAGTTATCATTATGAGATGTGGTTGTGAGTTATCCTTTTGAGAGGTGGTTGTGAATTATCATTGTGAGAGGTGGTTGTGAGTTATCCTTGTGAGAGGTGGTTGTGAGGTATCATTGTGAGAGGTGGTTGTGAGGTATCATTGTGAGAGGTGGTTGTGAGTTATCCTTGTGAGAGGTCGTTGTGAGTTATCCTTGTGAGAGGTGGTTGTGAGTTATCCTTGTGAGAGGTGGTTGTGAGTTATCATTGTGAGAGGTGGCTGTGAGTTATCATTATGAGATGTGGTTGTGAGGTATCATTGTGAGAGGTGGTTGTGAGTTATCCTTGTGAGAGGTGGTTGTGAGTTATCCTTGTGAGAGGTGGTTGTAAGTTATCATTATGAAATGTGGTTGTGAGTTATCATTGTGAGAGGTGGTTGTGAGTTATCCTTGTGAGAGGTGGTTGTGAGTTATCATTGTGAGAGGTGGTTGTGAGTTATCCTTGTGAGAGGTGGTTGTGAGGTATCATTGTGAGAGGTGGTTGTGAGTTATCCTTGTGAGAGGTGGTTGTGAGTTATCATTGTGAGAGGTGGTTGTGAGTTATCCTTGTGAGAGGTGGTTGTGAGTTATCATTGTGAGAGGTGGTTGTGAGTTATTGTGAGAGGTGGTTGTGAGTTATCCTTGTGAGAGGTGGCTGTGAGTTATCATTATGAGAGGTGGTTGTGAGTTATCCTTGTGAGAGGT